GCGTCTTGTAGACAGTCAACTTCGTGCGGCGGCGAATTTTATTCGACCGGAGCGTCCTTCGGAGTCCACAGTAGGCACGATTTCCTGCCATAATGCGTCTTTGAATTTCTCTGCTGGTATTATTTTCGGCGGTCACCAGTGGGCCCAAATATACGAACTCATCGACCATCTCGATTTCGTCACCGTCAATCTGAGCTCGGGTGGGAGGCTAACATTGTATTCCCTAGAACCTCTCTCCCTTTCATGTATGTAGCCTTTGATGCGTTGAAGGCAAGCCCAATCCGCCTTGCATCAGCCTTCAGTCTGATGTACGTTTCCGCCATCGTCTCAAAGTTCCGTGCCATGATGTCGATGTCATCGGTGAAGCCAAGAAGCTAGATGGACTTCCTGAAGATCGTGCCCCTCGTGTCTATCCCAGCTCTTCTGATCACACCTTTTAACGCGATGTTGAATAGCAGACACGAAAGTCCATCACCTTGCTGTAACCTCCTTCGAGATTCAAAAGGGCTCGAGAGTGTCCCTGATACTCGAACAACGCACATCACTCGATCCATTGTCGCCTTGACCAATCGCGTCAGTTTATCCGGAAATCCGTACCCGTGCATAATCTGCCATAGCTGATCTCGATCGGTTGTACAGAACCTGCCGAATCGTGAATATAAACCCATGAATCCCGCCTGGTATTGCCCCACGAACTCTCTTGCAAATGGTAACAGGCGGCGGCATAGAATTTGGGAGAGTACCTTGTAGGCGGCGCTCAGCAGTGTGATCGCGCGGTAGTTGCAGCAATCCAACTTGTCGCCCTTTTTGTAGATTGGGCATACGACACCTCTAATCCACTTCTCCGGTCACATCTTCTCCCCAAGTATTGGCAGTTACCCAGTGCAGCGCTCTAACCAGTGCACCACCGTATTTTAATAGCTCACTTGGTTGTTGATCTACACCAGTTGCTTTGTTGTTCTTCAGTCGACCGATCTCCTCCTCAACTTTTTGAAGATCATGGGCCGGCAGCCTGTCGTTTTCTGCGCGTACTCCAAGGTCTGTTGCCGTGTCATCTTCGTTTTCTGCTGCATCACTGTTGAGGTGCTCGTCATAGTACTGTTTCCACCTCTCAATTTTATGGAGTGACCATTTTACGGATGATGTTGATCTTCCGGACGACGGTCCGTACATGTTTATGTCACGACCCCTAGTTCATTCTTATATCACAGTTCCTAATGTTTTTTGAACAAAAAAAAAACTGCGGAGCTCTAGGATCCGTTTCATTGATTGACCTCTTTTATGGATGTTCTGGACTTACCAGGGGATGGCCACACGGCCGTTCGGGTCCTTTTTTTTGTCATGACTCCAAATTCTTTCTTATATCACAGTTCCACATGCTTTTGAAAAAACCGATAGAACTCTAGAATCAGTTTCGAGGATTGACCATTTTTAAAGATGTTCTAGATCTTGCGGAGGACGGTTCCATGACCTTCAAGGTACATGTTTATGTCACGACCGCAAATTAATTTATATATGACAGTTCAAAGTGTCTTCGAAAAAACCGTGGAGCTCTAGGATCAGTTCCAAACATTGACCACTTTTACGGACGGTCCGATGGCCATCTGTCACGATCCCAAATTCATTCTAATATCACAGTTCCTAATGTTTAAAAAAACGCGGAGCTCTAGGATCAGGATCGTGAATTTTTCACTGATGTTCCTGATCGTCCGGAGGACGGTCTCGTGGCCATCAAGGTCCATGTTTATGTCACGACCCCAAATTCATTCTATCATCTCAGTTCTCAGTGTTTTTCAGAAACAAAAAACGCGGAGCTCTCGGCTCAGGATCGTGGATTTACCACTTTTACGGATGTTCCGGATCTTCCGCTGGACGGTCCGATGGCCATCTGGGTCCATGACCCAAATTCATTCTTATATCACAGTTCCTAATGTTCAAAAAACGCGGAGCTCTAGGATCAGTTTCGCGGATTGTCCACTTTTACGGATCTTCCGGAGGACGGTCCCATGGCCATGCAGGTCCATGTTTATGTCACGACCCCAAATACTTTTTTATTTCACAGTTCCTAATGTTAAAAAAACGCGGAGCTCTACGATCAGGTTAATTGATTAACCACTTTTACGGATGTTCTGGATTTTTCGAGGACTCTTCCGTTGTCTCCAGCATCCATATATAGGAACCATGACTGTATTCTAGCTAATTCTGAACATTTGTGCCCATTAATATAAATTACAATATCTTGCGCCACTTGCAAAACCCTATAAAAACACCTTTAAAAAAAAGTGTAACAACTCTTTTAGCTTTTTAACAAAGTAGACGACTCTATTTTCAATCTTTTTACAATTAGAATCATCTACAGACCCTAGGAATTCTTAAGGTACCACATTTAATTAAGAAATGGCTAAGTTATGCCATTGCCAACTTGCCGTTACACGTTTTTCGGAGGATTCGTAGTCGGCGTAAAGTTTTTTTTACCCACCGTACTCGGAGTGTTAAAACTATAGTCAAAAGGTACAACACAATAAACACTTTATCTTCCGCTTTCCAATAAGCCTCCTCCATCAGAACGGGATCCACTTCCAGTAGTTTCATTGCATGGCAGATTCGCCAACGGGGGTTAGAGCGCTTCCATTGCAGTAATGGACGCAAAACGTGTTCAGCTCTCACACATTCATCACGAAATGGTTGCTTTCCAAAGTCGACGACGCATCGACCGAAAGAACTGCCGATGAAGAACAATGAGGAGAACCACCCAATGGTTGCTGCCGAGTAAACTGACAATCGCGTGACACACATCGAGAGTGGCCTGCTTCTGTCGACAGAAACTGGGTAGAAACTGGTGATCTCATACTTTACAATAGGCAATAACGGGGCCGGCCGCGTCCACATGTAGGTCTATTAGGGAATGGATTGGAATGTGTTGACGTGATTTGCGCTTTGTTGGAAACGGAGAAATCCTTCTCACATTTTCAACAGGATTGACTTAAGAGAGTATCCAGCATTTTACGAGCGCTTATGGCCGCCACAATCTGCCTGAGTTTTTGGTAGGGAACATATGATTTGACGTTTGGGTTGTGTCGTTTGACTGGCAAACGCTCAAATTTGATCGTTTACACGTCAAACGACACAAGCCAAACTTCAAATCTTATGTTCTCTACCAGAAACTCAGCCAGATTGTGGCGGCCATAAGTGATCGTAAAATACTGGATTGGTTCTTATCTAGTTGAAGATGCTGAAGGTTCTTATCGTTATGCCATATTAGCACTCAATTGTGACACACTGAAAAAGGTCTCGATTTTGGCAACATAGATGAACAAACTGTAGTCAGCTATAGAACCATAGTGATAATTAATGTCATGGCTTCTGCGATAGCGAATTTGTATGGGATTGTTATTTTATAACTCGATGGTTCCTTCAATATCGAGTTATAGATAGTGCACTGTAGATATGTTTCCAAAAACGAGATCTATCTGTACTGAATTACATTATAAAGGTTGAAATCACGTTGGAAAAGTTCAGAAAGTCCTGAATAACTTGAGATAAGCTTAAAATCACTATGAAGAGTACTGAACCATTTTGAAAAAGCTTAGCACGTAGAGAATCACTTTGAACAGTACTGAACTTTGGAAAAGTTTTGAAACACTTCGGAAAAATTGGAATCATTGGATCCGTGTATTCAGCTTATAAAATACTGAATCACTTGAGAAAAGCTAGAGTTCAATAGGGAAAATAATGGATCCCTCCAGGATAGACTCACTTCCGAATGATAGAAACTCACCTCAGGTTTGTTGAAGTTCAACATACTTCTTCAACAATTATGGGTTTGATTTGGTACCATACTGGTAGTTTTGGGAACCTTGTTTTGCCCGAGGTTTTGCCACGAATGTTTAGGAAAATTTCTAGAAATGGTTCAAGGTTTTTCATGAAATTTGAAAAAGTCAATTAAGTAAATAAATCAATGAGATAAATAAGAAAACGGAAAACTATTATTAAGCATCATTTCAAGAAGTAAGGATAGACGAACTTTGTAGATGTTCAAGGAACATTAGAGCGATTTTCCGCCCCTCGGGTTGTAGTTTTGTGGTAAATACCACCTACCAGGTCAAATATTTGGAACAAAGCCCACGAATGATGTTCACAGAGTCTATCCTTAAAAAATTACTATGTTTGACAAAGTTTAACAATCCACTTCATCGGACTTGCATAGATTGCTTGTTTTAAAATACTCTTCCGCCAGACCACTTCTCGGAGAGTAGCGAGAGAATTGCATTTGCAAACGAAGAAAAACAGTATGTTCTTCAAAGATAAACGAACTAAATGGATTCCGTCTGGATCCACAGCCAAGACAGACCGACAGACAAGCAGACACCCATTGCTTCCTGAACGGACTGGCATCTCTCGTCGGATAAACATTGCGCATCAGTAAATCGGTAAAAAATCGACAACCATTACCTTCTACCGGTTGGTAATCTGTGTGTTGAGCTCGGCCGTAGGTACCTACTTACGTTCGGGTGAGCTAACGATCCAAAAATATCCTACCGTGCTCAATGCGATTCGAGAAAAAGTGGAAATCAACTCATAAATTAGTTTGTCGGATTGTAGAAGCACTTAAAAAATTTCCTTCGTTTGAAGGAAAAAAAATGTATCAGCTTGTTTCCTTCGCTTCACCACCTTCCGGAAGCATGTCGCCATCATTTCTTTTCGGATAAAAGAAGTGAAATTGAATACAAATAAACAGGAGCATCATTTTTTCAAATATTGCACCACTTTAGACGAAGCAGGCCGTGGATCGGAAGTTCGATTTCCGCCGCCAGCTTGCTTCGATCGCGCTCTCTTGCACGTTCCCAAAAGAACGTGCGTAGCACGTGCCCTACTTTGAACTTCCTTTCCTCAACGACGACGTGACAAATCCACCAGGAAATCGATTCTAGCCTGTCAGAAATAAAATAAAAAAAGTGTCCCATTACAATCTTTTTTCCATCTCCGTTGCATTCTTTCAGACATGGAAGCCCTCTCGGCGCAGTTGATGAACCATCTGTCCAGCATGCAGCAGCTCGAGGACGGTTCGATCTTCCTGGACGATGTGATTGGGGTGGGTGGTGGTGCAGATCATCGACGGTTTCGCTCCGGAGGAGGAGCGGGAGGAGGAGGCGGTGGCAGTGGCAGTACCAGTGCCCTGCTCGGAGGACATCACCACCATCATCACCACCATCCGATCGAGGTGCGGTGCGTCTACTTGGATCAGTTGCTCGGTGAGTTTGCTTTGACATGCGACTTTAATGAGGTCTTGGCCAGGTGCACTATACACGTACGTAGTGCTTCGTTCTTGATGTCATTGGCTGCGGTTGGATTTACATTGGCTGCGGTTTTGTTAGAAGAAGATTAAAACAGAAGAACGCCAAGCGACTCGTCGCAGTGAATACGAAAATAGAGACGATCGATTTATGTCCATTTGATGGCACTGCCATGGGGAATTGTAATCGATTGTGGTTGGTGTGTGGCAGGGTTGTTCTCTCATTTTGAGATTTGTTCCAACCGCGAAGCATAATCACTTCTGGGCGTCGGATTTTGAGACTTTGGAAATGTCCCAGTGAGAGACATTATTTGCTCTGGTCGTAGACGCCGCAAAGCATGCAATTTGGTGGACACCGTCTGCATCCCTAATGAGCTGCATATGCTTTCAAATTTTCGAGAATTTCGGCTTATCTGACGAAAATTTTAAACTGAATTTTAAAATTCTCTGAATTTCATCACTCGACTTTTTCAAAGAACAAACCAGCTTTTGGAAAGCAAACGTTCGCAAATTTGGCCATCAATGACATTCCGATCGCTCGTTCCGCAGCGCACCTACCTACAGATCACGTACACCGTGTACGACGACGGAACCCTTTTCGAGCAGAGTACACAATTGGCCACCGTGCCTCCGATTGGAAACGTGCCCGGGGTTGTTGTGGATTCCAGTCACACATCACGCCTTTGACAAGGTTTCGTTTCTGTGTTGTATCGGATCGTTAAAAGTGCTTTCTGTGCCTTCGCGTAGTGCGCTCAGATTTCTCAATATTTGATAAGCAATATATTAAGGTAGGAAAATATCATTTCAGAGTTTATGGAATCAACTTTGATGACAAAGACAAAGTGTACCAGCAATGCGTAGGAATTTTTTTTTTTATATATTTCAGTGGAAATGTTTCCTTGCTATGTTTAAACATCCTTATTTGAATTTAATTTTCGCCAAAGGGTGGTGTTAGTTTGTGAAATTGGGATAGCTCCTACAGAAACACCTTTGGATCTATAATTGAATTTCAATTTTTTTAAAATTTTATTATGCTCTTATCGAACATGACTTGAGCTTGAAGAATGTTTTAAAACCTCTATAAAACTTGTTCTTTTGCATGAAAATGTGGCTGGGTTGGCCAATCTTATTAAATTTCATACCTCTGCTCATGTCGTAAAGGTCCCTGGCTACAGGCTCATGAAATCCTGTTTATTTATTTTTGAAGGCTCTCGACTTGTTGTAGAAGCCCTTTGTACTTCTAGAAAGTAGTCTACGGAACTTTGAAGGAGCCTCTGGACGTCAAAATCTTTGAGCTTTTCAGCTCGTTTAATGTGGTACTTCAGCGACTTAACTCGTTTCATGTGGTACTTCAGCGACTTAACTCCTGCTTCCCAGATCCCACCAAAGTGGGGACTTCTTGGCGGGATAAACTGCCAAGTGATTCCCCTTACCGAGCAGAATTCATCCAACTTCAGACGATGCTGTTGCTCCTCGAATAACCCTTTCAGCGCTGCGAGCTCGTGATCGATGCAAAGCAGCGATGAAATTGTCCGATGTCCGGTTTGACACTAACTCGAAATGAATCGGCTTCACAGCCATGCAGATGTTGGTACGGTCCAGCGTAATCGATACCAACCCGTGAGAGTACTGGAGCAGGGTTAACGCAAGCCTCCGAAAGGCTACCCACGAACTGACTCCCGAGATTAGGTCGATGCTTCGCACAAATTTGGCATTGGGAAATGATTCGATTGATGATTGATTTCGCCCGTAGGGGCCAATAACGTTCACGGACGATGGAAGGCAGTCCGCCTTGTCCCACATGCTGGTTTTCTTAGTGTAGTTTCCGGATCAATGCCTCCGTGGCATGGTGTTTTGTCGGCATCAGCACTCGGTGCTTACCGTCGTATGGTATCGCCGAGTATTTCAGCCGACCGCCCACTCTGATGAGTCCGTCTTGTCCGATGAACTGTGCTAAGTTGGATAGACTGTGCCGTGTGCTTGATTCAGCTTTCAGCCCTTTCAGTAGATCACCGAAAAACTTCCTTTTGAAGGACCAAGAACATTGCTTCGTTTGCGCTGATACTTGTGTTTACGATCCAGTCTGATTCCTATGCCCTCCATCACAATTGCTAGTACTGTCGCTGTTTTGAGTTCCAGTATTTCAAGAACCTCGTCAGCTATGCCTGCTTGCAATTCCAGTTGCTCTAGATGTGGTGAACCTTTCCACCAGATATCGTAGATCAACAATTCTACCGGTGATGCACCTCTTGAAATCACGTCAACAGGATTGCTCTCCGATCGGATGTAGTTCCACTGATAACCTTGAGTCAACTCCACGACTGTTCGCATCGAATTCGCATCGAAGTAACCACTGTCGTTGTCAAGTCAGCCAGTAGTTTTGATCCGTATAATTCCAACCGGGGAATCGTCATCGGTTTTAGTGGAGCCACTCGTGATTTGCTTGCAACTAGGTTCACACTAATCGTGCCATCAGCTGTGACACACCTGGTTGCTCCATAGACCCGCATCGAAGCGTCCGAAAATCCATGCAGCTCGATTCGTACTGCGTTTTCGGGGATCGCACAGTGCTGTTTGTACATTTCGTTGACGACAGGCAATTGTTGCCTGAACGTAGTCCACTCCTTTCAGCAATTCTTCCGGTAGCTCTTCATCCCAGTTCAAGCCAAGACGCCATATATTCTGCTGTTCTTACCAGTCCCAGGAACCCCAGGGGATCGAAAAGGCGACCGATGTCGGACAGTACCATTCCCTTCGTCGACGAAGTATGTTCACTGACCGGCTGGACGAATAATGCAAAATAATCCTCAAGCGGGTTCCAAATGAAGCTCAGTGTCCTTATCGTGTTGTTGATTCCAGTATCCTCAAAACTAACGAACTTCTCTTGCAGCTCCTCTGGTATTGCCTTCAGTACTTCGGGATCGTTTTTAACAAAACTTATGATCGCCAAATCCTCCACGTTTCAACAGCGACGTTAGCTCGCGATAGATCTTCAACACATCCTCCGCAGACTTTCCACCAGTTAGGAAATCGTCGATGTAACTGTCGTACCGGATCACTTGTTCAGCTAACGGGAAATCCTTACCTTCATCCGTTGCCAACTGAATTAGCGCTTTTGTAGCATGATGCGGTGAGCTAGCCACCCCGTACGTCACTGTATTCAATTGGTACAACTTGCGTACGCCGTTTATATCCACCCACACTATTTTCTGGAACTTGCGGTCGTTCTTGCTCAGCCAAACCTGGCGATACATTTTAGGCACGTCTGCCGTTAGTACCACCGGATGCACGAATAACCGAAGAATGATTGTCTGCAGATCGCTTTGGACTGTCGGTCCCACAAAAACCGTGTCGTTCAGGGAAACTCCTGCTGTCGTGCTGGCTTTGTTGTGGAACTCGTGGCGTTGAACACGGCGTGGTGTGGTATATAGTATCCATATCGGGTGTCCTCGGTGATCTCCTCCATATGGCCGAGCGACAGGTATTCTGCCATAAATCCGAAGTACTGTTCGCGTTTGGCCAGGTCCTTGGCCAAAGAAATCAATAGCTTGTCCAGACGTTTGCTTGCCATCTCGAACGACTCACCCAGCTGCTTCTTGCGGTCATTGAACGGCAGTCGAACCGTATAGCGTCCGTCTTCCTCTCGTACGTGTGTCTTCCCAAAGTGTTCCTCTACCAGCGCTTCAATAACGATCATGTTTGACTCCGTACCACCGTTCTCGGTCTCTCAGAATCGCATAAGCGTCTTGTTCAACATCTCGTCTTGGTGGTTCAGTTGACACACACGCAAGCATTCCTTGGACTTCCTGGTCTGTACCGATCCTCCAACGACCCATTCTAATTCCATCTCTATCAGTGTCGCTTCGTTCTTACTCAGCTTTAGACGACCTTGCTTGATCAGATCGAAAAAGATCTCGTTGCCGATGATTAGGTTCACCACAATTTGAACATTTACATTTCTTAGGATCTTCCTTCACCACAATTCATGCATTTGGCTGGCATGTAGCAATTTTTAGTTCCGGCACTGGGTGAGGTTTTGGAAATTTCCTCCAGTCTTCCTGAAGTGTTCCCACTTCACTCGGACATGGAGCATAAGGCTAGCTTTTTCTGAGACCTAAAGGTTGTTTAGTTCACTAGACTTGAAGTGAACTAAATAAAAATCATTAGAAATCCCGTTGCTCGAATCGCCAGGACGGGATTTCATTTTCACTTTGATTACTTGGAGTGGCACAACTCCAAGTAATTTTGCCAGTTCATCTTTGATCTGATCCAGGGATTCACCACTGGGCAGTCCTTTCATGACAACCTTGAACACACGTGTCGTAGGTAAAAAATTTGTGCTTCTTCTCAGCAAGATACTTGAGAAGACATTTAAATCCGTCCAAGGTTTCAGCCAATACACGGCATTCACCCCGACGTCCAGTGAAAACTTAATTTTCACGAAGTTCAAACGTTCCTTGCGAAGAGCATGGAAATCGGAAGTGGTTATCACAATAGGGGGAACCTTTTCCTTCTTGGCATTACGCCGAGAAAGTTTACAAGAATTTTTCTTGGATGATGGATCATTCTCATCATCCGTGAGTATATCAAATTGATTACTCAAATTAATTTCATCAGAAGGGGTATCAAGAGTTTGCCCCATTCTTTTGCGTTTAGGCGCCATGGCGGCTGTGAATTTTTTTTATCCAAACCGACTTCCAAGCAGATTACTATAAGAATCTGAAGGATCGAAGAGGATTTTTCCAAATCGATATCCAAGAAGGATTACCTCGGGTAGGGACCAAACAAGGATCGAAGAGGAATAAGAGTTGAACAAGGTAGAAAATTTTTACAGGTTGAGCACTGAAAAATGCTGTTTAAATTTGTTGTAGCTTTAGGTAGTAGTAACACTTCCTTCAGTAAAAAGCAAATAGATCCGCACGGCAAGAGAGCACGATGCGGACTGAGCGTGACTGCTTT